GACGCTATTAAGAACATGATTCGAGTTTTCAGGTTGATGTTTTGATTTCATAGCAATTTTAGGTGCCGGGCAAAGCGACCTTTGGAACACATTATTCTATATTCAATTTCCTTTTTTTCCTATACATAATTTATTATAACTGATCAATACGCCGAGGTATCTGAAGTGTTTCTTAATTCCACATCCTGAATTATTTGGTACCGTTCTTTGTAATACTGTAGCTCCGGACCACAATGTTCAAATAGGGCTGAACTTTACCAAGATCCCGAGGCTTTATTCTTTCAAAGCCTTTTTTCATCATTGATCTTTGGAAGCAGTTGTATACAGCTGGCAGTTTAGATATTTCTGAACGGGTTAATGGCATGAATGGCACTCTGTTTAAATTATAAAATTTAAATCAAAATTTCTTTAGCTTGCCTCGCAACAACTGAGAAATAAAATTACCAAAAATCAATGTATTATTCACAATTCGAAAGTGCGGATGATATTCGAGGTACTTACAGGGAACTTTTAAACAGTTTTAACAAAATCAAAAATCTGTTTTTAGCTTCTTTATTGGGGTGAGCGCAAATGCAGATCCCAAACATAGAAATAGCGCTTCCGAGTCGCCCACATTTGGGGCGATCGCCATGTTCAACCCAACCAGAGTGCAATGGAAAGGCCTTCTTCTGGGAGAATTTGGTGTGAATTTTATTGAAAATAAATTCTTATTTTGGTGGGGAAATAACAGAAAAGATCCTAAATCTTTTTGTTACGTGTTTCTGTAAAATCATATTGTCAATGTAATCCTAATTAAATCGCTCCGATATGTTTGATATTTTGTAAATATTTAATTTAATTTACATCATATGATATTCTACATGTTTCACTGAATGTGATGGCTTACTGCTTTCCTCTTATGGAAACTAACAGAGTGGAGATACATAGGCGTGTGCATATTATGGACGGACGAAAAAGGAGATTGGCTTCAGTAATGGCTAAATCAAGAGGTTAACATTTCACGCTAATTGCAATAGAATGTTCGGTTGGAAACCCCCTTTAATACTGGAAAGAGTGATAAAAGTTTCTAGACATGAGAAAACGGTTTTCCTTTAACGGTTTTAAGAGAAAGATTTTATAAATTTCAACTAAAAACAGCATTGTCCGCTTAGTCAATGAATGTCTATATTTCTGAGATGAGATATTATGTACATTATTTACATTATTCAGACTATTGTCCTCATCTTTGTCGCCATATTTATTACAACGTTTCGGCCGCTGTACGCTCCGGCCTTCTTCAGGTGGTCGGAATGTCGAACTGAACCCTTTATTTCGCTCACTGGGATAGACTGTTCCATATTTAATGGATGTCAGCTGTCAGTTATCTCCTGTTAATTTCCCTCTGAAAGTTCTCCACTGCCTTAGCCGGGTATTGAACTCACACTCTTTGGGTCCTGTCACTGGATCTAACTAACGACTTTATCCACTGTACCATGTGTCTTTGGCTTGTCGAGATCAAATTTCAACCGAGCCCTTTCCATTCGCTTTGGTATGAAATCCCTTGAGAAACCCCAGCTATGAACTAGTAGGGAGATTCTCAAGGTTTTCTTGGCAATCATTGCAGGAGTTGATTTTTTAACGCGTCCGTCGTTAATGCATGTGACAGAAGTTCGTGGTTTAAGGTGGGTTTACCGTGGAAAACTTGTTCAAAACCTTCGATAGTTACCTTTTTGAGGGGGCCTCAGGCACTGTGTATTGACCCTAGCCTCCTCTTAAAAGAAGAGGTGCTGTTTAGGTGGGATGTCACATGTGGCTTGAGCTAATATTAATTTTAAACTACCCCATCTGCTGCCGGGGAAGCATATCTATCTAGGAGAATAACTTCATTCTAAACCGGTTGTCGAATCCTCCCCGAGAAAACTTAAATCCTGCAGTAACGGCATGTGCTTTTTTTTTTGTGTTAAATCGATTGATATCACCACAAGCAGGAAACAATAATGCAACTCTTTTTTTCTAAATTTTGGACTATATAAAGAAAAAGAAACACTAGTAAGGATTGAATGAGATTGACTATATTCAAACATTTGGTCGAGAATGTCGAACGTCAAGGTTATTTTTTACGGGTAGAATAGAGAATAGAAGATATTTTGAAAAAAACAAAACAAGGTAACATATCGTCTCAAAGGAAGCCCCTGCCTCCACTTAATTCTAGCTGCGACTCAAGATCATGGATTCCTCGCATTTAGTACAAGGGTTCGTAGAAACTCAAGATTATTAGGACACGGCACTATGGACATCTCTGATTTCAAACCATTCGCCCATGAGTGTATCCCCTATGGCAGTTTAGACGACGAAGATGACTGAATTAACTCAAATTTGAAATGAAGCTTAAGTTCGGTTGAGTAATGGATAGCAGCTACTCGAGTTCATTGCATTCACTTAAGGGTTAATTCTCTTGGGAACGATAAGAATCCATCTCTTCCCCTGAAAACAGGACAGGGTAGGCTCTATAGCGTTGGTTGTCTATAGGGAGAAGGAGAGGGAAAACTGAATTCAAATCACTTGTTGCCCAGTGTGTCCTGAATCTTTCAGCAAAAACTAGAAGGTAACTCCAAAAACAAACCCACGAATAAAGGAACTACGTCCCTGCTTCGAACCGAGACAAAAAGTAAGGAACCCCTTCGGGGTTAATCCAAGGGTTCGAGCAAAGACAAGATTAGGACACGGCATTATGAACATCTCTGTTTTCAGATCATTCACCCATGGTGTATCACCTGCAGCATTTTAGAGGACGGCGAGAATAGGGAAAGTAAAATAAATATGAAAACCATGAAGAGTCGTGTTACTACTCTTCTCTCCCAAGGGAATTTTAAATAAGCACACCATTCTAATAAGTACCCCACTTGTATTATCGCTCCTAACCGACTAAGTTAATTTAATCGAAATATGCTTTCTTTATTGATATTTTTTTTTAAATGCGCGATCAGGGTGCTATTACGATAAACCTATTTGTTCAACAAACGTGGGACAATAGACTTTTGACATACTGCAGATTGATAACAAGACGAACATTGTATTTCAATAAATCTATTTATTCCCGTCTCCATGGAAGTAGAGAAAGGTGAAACTACACGCTATTTAACTAAACAATGCCTTAAAAGCAGTTTTATCCAAATGGTGACATTTGTTCTTATAGTTAGTCAAGTGGTTTGTCTATCGGACTTTTACCTGCGAAAAGATTGACTGAAGGCCAAGCAGATAATGCATTTGAGTCTATACTATCAATTAATACTAACATGAAAATCCTGCAATAACACTGTTTGTTTTTTATTTTTTTTATTTTTTTAATGTCCGGCTTTTCGGAAAATAATGTCTGATTTTAGAATAAACCTTTTAATTATCTTCGATTAGCGCGACTGTCGCACTCTATCAATCCTACACAAATAATGAACAATCGGAAAAAAGGAATAGATATATAAGAAATAAAAATTGGTTTCAGTGAGAAAATGAAAGAAAGAAAGAAAATTAGACGTGTTTAACATCTATTTCACTGAAATAGAAAAATGTTTTCAATTTAATATCTTTTCATTTATACCTCCTCACTTTTTAAATAATGGACAGCATTCATATTATGATTGTCATTGTAATAGTTTATTGATACTATTAAGCTCATATATTTAACGATGTGATAGGGGAATTTCTAAGGATATTTTATTGTCATAGAAATCACTGTGAATTTGTTAAATTAAATGGTGTTTCATTAAGACAGATTACATATAAGGGTGTTTCATTAAGACGGATTACATATAAGAGTGTTTCATTAAGACGGATCAAAGTCAGCAGTAAATAAATCAGAGTTATTGGTGAAAATTTATTTATTTCTTATTTGGATCACGTTATTTAAGTAATGACAATTATGTGCGAAAAATATTTTTGCACAAATGTCCGCCAAATCTGAAAGAAAAAGTAAGAAATCATTAGACGCTTAAACTTAATTCACATTTAATATCGGTCGAAGTTATTAGAACAGCTATTAGTAATCATTGTTCTACTAGTATATTTTAAGATATTTATTTTCTGTCTATATCTCTGAGATGAGGTATGACGATTATTTACATTATGTACATAATTCAGACTGTTATCCTCATCTGCATTGCCATATTCATAACGTTTCGGCCGTTGTACGCCGCGGCCTTCTTCAGCATCTGTCTATATCTCTGGGATGAGGTACTATGATTACTTGGATTATTTACATTATTCAGACTGTTATCATCTTCTTCATTGTCATATTCACAACGTTTCGGCCATTGTACGATCCGGCCTTCTTCAGGTGATTGAAATTTCAAACCAGAACCTTTATTTCGTCCACCGGATTAGATTGTTCTAGTTCCACGTGACAAGCCTCTTCCGGATGTCTCAGTTATTTCTTTTTAACTCAACTCTCCACATTTTTTTTTTGTTTGTATCACGCCTGCTGTAGTTTGGTATTGAAAACACAGTCTAGTCACTGAATCTAACAAACGTCTTTATCCACTGTGCCACTCGTTAAACGAAATAAAGGCGGTCCGAAATTCCAATCACCTGAAGAAAACCGGAGCGTAGAACGACCGAAACATTGTGAATGAAGATGAGGATAACAGTCCGCATAATGTAAATTATGTAAATATATATTTTGATGTCTTATCAAAAATTATTTTGATTATTTTATCGGTAATATATGTTGTGAATATGGCAATGAAGATGAGGATAACAGTCTGAATAATGTAAATTATAAAAGTAATCATAATGCTTCATCTTAGATATATAGACAGATGCTGAAGAAGGCAGCAGCGTACAACGGTCGGAACGTTGTGAATATGGCAATGCAGATGAGGATAACAGTCTGAATTATGTAAATAATGTAAATAATCGTCATACCTCATCTCAGAGGTATAAACAGAAAATATATATCTTAAAATATACTAGTGGAACAATGATTACTAATAACTTAACACTGTGATGAAATGTGAGGCATATGTTGTATGACGTTCCACGGTCGTCATGGAAAGAAGTCAACAACAGATGCGCTACAATTTTTACTAAATTTTCTACTCTATTTTTATTTCTTTTTCTTTTCCTTCCTCTTTCTTTTCTTCTTTCTTTATTCCTTTATTGAATCTGGAAATAGCCATGAACATGTCACAGTTTTCATATTTTAATTAGATTGATCGGAAAATAATGTCCGATTTTTTAATAAACATTTTAATTGTTTTCTACTAAGTTCTAATGGTTGCCCAAAAATATATTAGTTGTCCCTAATGATTAAAGTGTCACCTTTTTTAAATGTATATAAATTCGTTTTTGGAAAATAAATTAATACATTATATATCTCACCTCATGAACATGAAAAAAAAAAGAGATGCGTTTAGTTTTTGTGCATGGGTTCAAGGTTGGTCATAATGCTACTCAAACTGCATGCATCAGTAACAAATAACTACGGTGATCAATCTAATTTTAATCAGGCTACGGCGCTGGTTTTCTGAAGTTCCGCAGTGGGTATACGAATTTTAATGATCAAGGTGTTAAAGAACGTCCATCTGCAATTGATAATCTCTATCTGAAAATAATTTTTCACGCCTCTTGACATTTTTACAGTAAAAAAAAGAGTTGGGTTCGAAATTTTAATCACCTGAAGAAGGCCGGATCGTACAACGGCCGAAACTTTGTGAATAAATCTCTAAAGGTTTGGATGCCAAGAACTCTTTGAATATATTTTCTCTATGATTAGCTTTGTAATTCGATGGTAGATTTTGAGGGTTCCTGTTTTGACTGGGTTAAGCACTGTTTAAATATATTAATTCAGTAATAAATTTTCTAAACAGGCAATACTTTGAACAAGTACTTTATCATATAATTATTTTTACTGTTTCTGTTAAAAAATTCTACAGAAAAAGTCCTGTAATCCGACCTTAAGAAAGTAAGATACTCAGATGAGATAATTTCGATATCAAACATAGACAAATAGTGTGACTCCTACAAAAATAATAATGGAAGGTGAGAAAAAGGACTATCCATCAATTTTAAGAAAACAGTATACGGTTGCCAGCAAGATGAATAGCACAAAACAGCTACGAATTCGAGATGACAAAATGAAGCAATTACAAAAATTTAATGATATGTGACGTTTTGTAACAGAAGACACCAAAATACGAACATGCGTAGGAATAGTTAAAAATAGTTTCCAAAATCTAAGCAAAATACTAAGAAACAGGAAAGTTTCGTTAGAACCAAAGAAAAGTGCACTAAATCGCTATGCTATATCTTATATGACAGTAAATATAGCGCAATGTTGACTAAGAGACCTGAAGAAAGATAAATTTTCTTCTACAGAAGGATGTTGAGAATAGCATGGACTGAATATGTGAGTAACGAGAACGGTTTAACGATAACAGAAACAAAATGACGCTTATACTTAGAATTGCAACGTAACAGTCAAGATATCTAGGGCACATGCTTCGAAAGAAGGCTTGTAGAATTTGACATTCACATGACATACTAAAGGAAATAGAGACAGAGAAAAGCATCGAGTATCGTACCTAAAATGATCTTACGTAAATGTTTGACATAACAGGGATTAGGAGAGATCGCAAAAAGACAAACCTGACAAAGTACTACAAGGAGCGGAAAGTTTGGAGAGCTATTATCGCCCACTAAATCGAGGGACACCGTATATAAAAGAAGAATTCGACATTCTTTTATATCGGCCCCATTTTCCTATATGAACAATATACAATTCATAGAGGTCACTGCTTTTTAGAGAGGCATAAAGAAAATAGCAGAAACTCGTAAATAAATTCAATAAAGTGATAACTAAAGACTATCAAATGTAAAAATTGAAGTGGATTACTGTTAACATGAAGGAAAGCCCAAGATGCGAGCTTCAAATTGGAAATGTCAGACTTAAGCAAGTAGAAAAATTTAATTATGTGGAAAGTGTTATTACAGACGACAGTAAAGGGGAAACAGAAATAAGAAGGCACTTTGGAATACCTTCCAAATATAAAACAAAGTAATAAAAATCAGAGGAATTTTGTTAAAAACAAAAAAAGCCGGTTTAATTGTAATGCAACGTCAGCCACTCTATATGACTGCAAATGCACGACAATTTTTTCGTTGATGAAGAGGAAACTTGAAGGGGTAGAGATCTGGTTCTACAGAAGGATACTGAGAATTCCATGGGAACAGCAATTAGGAAACAAGGATTTTTTTTATTGAAAATAGCAACAAAGCGGTTACTTTCATTAGAATCAGAATAAGTCAGTTGAAATTTATGGGACTTGGATTGAGAAAAGAGGGCTTTGAGAATTTGATACACACTTAAAAAATATGTAGAAGAGTGAAACAGCGAGTAGCGTACATACTGACTTTGTGTAAATGGATGGCAGAGCAGGAACTGTTAGGGACAGTAAAATATAAATATTGCTAAGAGCTAGGAAGAATAGGATGTTGTGGAGAGACGTATTCTGAAGGAGCAGAGGAAAGTGAATAATCTATCTAACGAGCTAGTGTAAATGTATGGCAGAATATGAACTGTTAAGAATAATAAAAAGAGAAAGATTGCTAAGAGCTAAAAAGCATAGGACGTTGGGGAGAAACATGCTCTGAACAGGCAGGGAGAAACAGTGAGTAACCTACCTAAAGAGTTTGTGTAAACGAATAGCAGGACAAGGACTTGGTGGGATAATAAGGAGACAATTAGACCTTTTCAAAACGATCCCTAACCCAATGAAACCCTTAAAAGCCGCTCAAGGTAGAGGGGTTTTGAATGAGATTTTTGGAAGTGCATAGGAGGAAGAAGCAAGATGAGCATATTATGATGATAGTCAGGATTGATAACCGTTGACGCTAAACAATGAAGAAGGTAAGATTATGTAGTGAAAGAGATAAACAGCTAATTCGAAAAAGAGTTCGTGTTTTGTGTGCGATCTGCCGAAGAAAAATTACCAAAAAGTAGTTAGCAACAAAATCTACTTTAAGGACCAGAATCTATGCTAATGTTGTTCCCTCCTCTGAATGGCGTGACCAATCAGAAAGATCTCTCGGTGAACAAAAGCAATTGTTTTTCGCTTATAAAGGCAGGAGATTTTCTGAGCTTGGGGGACGAACACGCGTGTTTGCTGGTGAGAAGTGAAGGTTGGACGTGTGACTCCATTTTGCCGTTTCTACGCTGCTTGTTGGACTGTTACGACGAACTATCGTTTGAACTGTGAATTGGTTACAAGTGTTGCGATCGAGAGACAGAAGAAATCTATTGCGGACGTTTGTTGCTACTATAAGTTGACAGTCTTTCCTTTTCTTTTCTTTACTTTACAACCACAGATTAAAGTTAAGTATTCTTTCAGGAGTTTGTTTCAAAACGAAACACTTCCGCTGAAAAATCTATCTGAATCAAACTTCCTAGTTACCAATGGAATACGAAGGGAATGAGGGTCTGTTGTTTCTGTGTATGTAGGATGGAGTTTCCTAAATGTGAATGTGTAAACTTGTGGATGTAAATGGATATAGTTTTTCTGAACCCTGGTCATGAAAATAGTGATAGAGTACCGACAAGCTAACAAGGGGTTTGTAGCTTGATCTACAAAGGTAGAAAATTGTTTTAATCTCCCAGGGCCTGAAGGGTTACATCACATAAACATGAATGAGAATGTTCCCATATACTTCTTATCAACCTATTCCACGTGTAAATATATTTAGTTTGACCTTTTGGGGGTTTTTATTAATTCGAATGTCATTTGAACTAATCGTTTTCCGTACATTGGCATACCGGGTGTAACAGCAAAATTGTCTAAATCGAGTATCACCATAATTGTCCATCCTACAAAGCGTTTAAAATCTAAAAAAAAAACATTAAACTCAGTTTCTTTTTTCCGTGTTTTCTGATAAGACGTTTATATATCTTGACACCATTGGGCATAAAAACCGCTGAAAAACCCTTTGAGTTATTCAGCTAGAAAGAGAAAAGGTTAAAATCGCTTTATGTCAGCTCCGCTGTCTTTCCAAATGATCAATAGTGGGAGGAAAAGTTCATTCAGGCCTTCACTTATGATAACAATATTCATACTCTGGCTTCCATCTTCAAAGTCCATTAAATAAGCATCGAGAGAATGGTGAATAAGTCTAAAAATGATGGAACAGTAGAGAGGAAAAGTGGATCAGGAAGTCACAACAGGAAGATTTCAAATTAGAGCTAAAGAGATCAATTAGAAAAGATATAACTCAATTCAAAATGGCGTTTGACACGTGAGAGACAAGTTTCAGCAATGGCCGTCGAAAGAGCTATGAAAAAAGACTTGAAAATGAAATCGTACGTGAAAGGTGAGGCATCTTGTTACTCGAGGATTAGAATGTTAGATTTGGTGATGATCATATTGTATATGCTGGAAAATGATCCTGGAATATATATATATATATATATATATATATATATATATATATATAATAAAAATGATAATTTCAGAAAAAATGTGAAAACATATAAATAATAGTAAGGGCTAAACAAAATAAATCGTCATTTTCTTAATATCTCATCAAGTTCTTATCTTTAATTTCTGTCTGAATATTTGGGATGATGAGTTACGAATTCGAATTTCAGTGGAGTTCATTATATTCACTTAGGTACTTAGGAAAGGTTTCTCCCCATATTTAAGGTTAAGTAGCAGAACCGATCCTACAGCATTGGGCGCCAACCAATCTAGGAGAAGGACAACTTTGAATTCAAAACCTGAAGCCCTAGTGTACGTACAACACTATGTTCCTCTCGTATTCTGTGATCTTCGCCTGCTGCCCAAGTGCTTTTTTTATGTTTATTCTGCCCTCAGGTTACCCCGACGAGTGTTAAAAAGTATTTTCCATATTCTACTAAAATATTCGTTTTTCTTTTTTTTTTTTCATTTCTACTTGGTTTATTGAGTCAATTCAAATAGTCTGTTTTATGAATTTGCTTGTTGCTAGGCTACGTCGATTCTACTAGTTATAGTTTTCACGATACAGAAATGCATCCCATTTTTCTCTACCGGAGCTTTTCGATTTGTTATCGTTCAGACTTCACGTGTTTTGTAGATAAATATACAAATAGCCTGTGTAACAGCTGGTTTGTACAAATCTGGTAAAAGCTAAATTTTCCAATTGTTAGATTATGCTTTGGAACGTTGCATCTTATAAATGATTAAGGATATTTTACTGTAATTCCATGAGGTTTTCTATAAGAATATTGAACTCTAATTTGAGCAATAAGAATCTATACTTATTCTCCAAGAATAGCAAAAAAATAGTGATGAAAACGATCATAAGTGAAAATGACATGTCCATAATTAATTAATCATAGCTATGGCGTGTTACATTAAATAATATAGAAAAGTTTTGTCTATTTTATGTAAATTCCTTTCATATCGTCTGATAAGCTTAATAACGTTATTATTAAAAGACGAAAGAAAATGACCATATTCATACATATTTTAATCCTATCTAAGCTTTCAATATAGTGATTTTCTTTCGTCTTTTAATAATTATGTTATTAAGCTTATCAGACGATATGAAAGGAATTTACATAAAATAGACAAAACTTGTCTATATTATTTAATGAAACATATATCAATGAAAAAATGCTAAGTACTCACAATATATATATATATATATATATATATATATATTCCATGAGCATTTTCTAACTGATTCAAGACGATCTTCGCCCTTTCTAACCTTCTAACTTTATGTCCTGTAGTAATAAGCTGCCTCACACGTTTCACGTACGATTTTATTTTTAAACCTTTTTTCCAATCGTCTTATGAGTTGGATCTTTTCTAATTGATCTCTTTATTTTTAAGTTGAAAAGATGATCCCTCTTCCTGTTGTGACCTCTTGATCCATTTTTCCTTTCTACTGTTCTCTCTTTTTAGACCTATTCACCGTTCTCTTGATGGTTCTTGGATGGACTTTGAAGGTGGAAGCCACTGTATGAATGTTGATACCATTACTGAAGGCCTGAATGATCATTTCCCTCTCACCATTGCTCATTTGGGAAGACATAGCGTACAACGGCGGAAACGTAGTGAATGTGACAAAGATGTGATAAAGATGTGGACAACAGTCCAAACAATGTAAATAGTGTAAATAGTTACAACACCTCATCACAAAAATATAGACAGATTTTAAACTCAGGTGTTCCAAAAGTGTAGCAGTTGATAGAGTCCCTCAAGAAATATGGTAAAAGGTGAGTCCTGCCCGTTATACAAAATTATTCAAACATCTGTGGTTGGTGCCTTTTACTGCTCCAGAAAGATTCTGACTCTTCTTAAAATACTTTGTATTTATAAGACCTAGATCCGACCAAAGATAGGGTGTTACTGAAACCGCTAGGCTGGAGCTGACCAATCAAAAGTGTTTGCGAGGCCTTGTGGGTGATGATTTATTTTCCATCCTACATACCCTTGCGGACAGATGAAATGTTGCTAGCCTCTTGCTAACTGTTGTAGCATACCTACGGAAGATAATGGTTATGTCCCCGTTCACATAAATATAGTAGTAAATACTGTATGTTGGTCTGCAGCTGGAGATTCGTCTCCAGCTGAGCGAATCAAACTCTCTGCCTCCGAGCAAAGAGAATCCCCAGACGAGGCTATGTTGAAGTGTGGAGTCTCGTCTGGGGAATCAGCTATCCGACCCCTTTTTATACGGGGTATACGGGGAATTTTTGGCCGAGCCTACGGGATCGGATACCCCACATTAAATCCGGCCTTGTGCCACATCTGACCGCATGAGGCGGTTGGTAGATATTCTGCGGTTGGAGATTCGTCTCCAGCTGTGCTGGTCAAACTCTCTGCCTCCGGACAGAAGATCCCCAGACGAGGCTATATTGAAGGGCAGAGTCTCGTCTTGGAGAAACAGCTACCCGCCCCCGTTTTAAACGGGGTCTACGGGGAATTTTTGGCCGAGCTTACGGTCTCGGATACCCACATTAAATTCGGACTTGTGCCACATCTGACCGCGTAAAGCGGTTGGTAGATGTTCTGCATGTGGAGATTCATTGTGGAATTCGCGTGATTCACATCTAGCAGTTGACTACTTCTTCTACGCGCCGCTAGCGAATCTTATATGCGTTGTTTGTATCATATTGTCGTCCATTACCAACTTTCGTGTGATTATTGTATTCAGTAACCTTCTTTGGTTGCAACAATAACCTATCGTTATTTTTGCGTTATTTTTGCGGTTGATGTTGGAGGGAACTATATTCTTTAGCTCCGCCAGTTCAGACCTTCACATCTACGATCCACCAGACCACCACATTCGTTGAGTTAACACATCCTCATTCCATTGGGGAAGAGGACGTTCTATCCAAATAGCTTCTTCTCTAGAACAATTGCATTTTGGAACAGACTCCCAGAAAGATTCTTCTTAGATAACCACAATCATAACCTCTCCAAGTCTAGGATAAAGCGTAATATATCCAATCTTATTATAGGTTTTTACGACAACACTCTACCTTGAGATTCTCTTTTTTTTTACAAAGAATTTTTCTCTTCTGTCTGTTGTAGGAAAATACATTTTTAATCATTTTACTCTAAGGCAATAAAGTTACTAAGACGTAAGAGCTTACTGAGTGTCAGAAAATATCTGAAAAAAAAATCCGTATTAACGAGAGATAACAATATAAAAACAAGAATTCAGATGACAGAAATAACGATTAACATTACATTGAAATTTTTGAAGATCTAAGTTGACTGGGAAGCAAGAAGCCAGAAAAGTGTTCCAGAAGCGAGAATTGCCATAGAAGAAACTATTAGCATAAAACTTACGAATGCATTTAGACATTTCAGCTGTAAAGTGATGAAATCATTCGCCGAACTAGTACTGCTCTTAAAGTCATAAAGTGTAAGTACTCTAGACGAGATTTCATCAGAGTAATTACCATGAAAATATTTATAGAAATGACACAAGGAAGCTACATTATCTCGGTGGCGCCTGGCATTACAGAAATTGACTGAAGCCAAGATACCAGGTCAGGACTGATAATATTACAGATGCTTCTTTGGATTTTATCAAGAATCTTAAAATTTATTGCAGGAACACCAGACCAAATGAGGCAGCAATATTCAAAGCAATGATGAATCGTAGACTTATAAATATCTAGATTCAGGCGAGAAAATTTTATAGAGCGATATTGTTAGCATTTCAGGGTGTAGGCGATCCCCCCCCAATATATCCCATTATTTTATTACAAGTGCATTGCATGTTTTCTTGCTGAAGACATTGAAATGATTTCCAATTTTCATCTTCATGATATTTTTTAAAATTCAATTTTAGCTTTTCCTAGTCTGGTTGCCAGTCAAGGTTAGAAAGCTCAGTCTACCCGACTACTTAAGCTATAGCTAGGAGAAGAATGAGGCCATCAGAACTTTTTGTCAAGTTCACTTTGTGCGCTGCTAACTGTTCTTCTAGGCGCATATCCACTAGGAAATCGAGAAATCCCAGAAAAAAATCAAACACCACCTGATTATTATGAAAATTAAAACCTGAAAGGTGATTCTTTAACAATTGAATTAGATGCATCAAGAAGTAGATAAATCAGATTTTATCTTCCACCGACACTCTTTCCACGAACATTCTCCGGTTTCTGAAATATATTGTCAATTAAATATATTCCCCTTGTAAAGGGAGACCGAAAAAAGAAACACGAGGATTCTTCGCCTGATACGTGCCCTCAGGGCCGAAAAAAAAAACGAGGATTCTTCGCTCGATACGTGCACTCAGGGCCGAAAAAAACACGAGGATTCTTCGCTCGATACGTGCACTCAGGGCCGAAAAAACACGAGATTCTTCGCTCGATACGTGCACTCAGGGCAGAAAAAAAAAACGAGGATTCTTCGCTCGATACGTGCACTCAGAGCCAAAAAAACGAGGATTCCTCGCCTCGATACGTGCACTCAGGGCCGAAAAAACACGAGGATTCTTCGCTCGATACGTGCACTAAGGGCCGAAAAAAACACGAGGATTCTTCGCCTGATACGTGCACTCAGGGCCGAAAAAAAAGCACGAGGATTCTTCGCTCGATACGCGCACTCAGGGCCGAAAAAAAAAACGAGAATTCTTCGCTCGATACGTGCACTCAGAGCCGAAAAAAAAACGAGGATTCTTCGCTCGATACGTGCACTCAGGGCCGAAAAAACACGAGGATTCTTCGCTCGATACGTGCACTCAGGGCCGAAAAAAACACGAGGATTCTTCGCTCGATACGTGCACTCAGGGCCGAAAAAAACACGAGGATTCTTCGCCTGATACGTGCACTCAGGGCCGAAAAAACACGAGGATTCTTCGCTCGATACGTGCACTCAGGGCCGAAAACACGAGGATTCTTCGCTCGATACGTGCACCAGGGCCGAAAAAACACGAGGATTCTTCGCCTGATACGTGCACTCAGGGCCGGAAAAACACGAGGATTCTTCGCTCGATACGTGCACCAGGGCCGAAAAAACACGAGGATTCTTCGCCTGATACGTGCACTCAGGGCCGAAAAACACGAGGATTCTTCGCTCGATACGTGCACTCAGGGCCGAAAAACACGAGGATTCTTTTTGCTCGATACGTGCACTCAGGGCCGAAAAAAAACACGAGGATTCTTCGCTCGATACGTGCACTCAGGGCCGAAAAAAACACGAGGATTCTTCGCCTGATACGTGCACTCAGGGCCGAAAAAAACACGAGGATTCTTCGCCTGATACATGCACTCAGGGCCGAAAAAAACACGAGGATTCTTCGCCTGATACGTGCACTCAGGGCCGAAAAAAACACGAGGATTCTTCGCCTGATACGTGCACTCAGGTTTAGCAATTTGTCATACACTCGGCGTTGTCACTTTAGAAAACTTTCACTCCCATTTAGTTTAACCGGTGAATGTGCAAGGTGACCTTTCAGCAGAAACTTCAGTGTGAAACGTACATATTGAAGAAATGTTTAGCAAGTGTTAATAAATTGATAGAAGCTCCTCAGTCGGAATGTCAACGAACATATGGAGAAATGAGCAAAGAGAATAAAATAGTGGTGAAATAAATGAACATTTTTGGGAACAAGTGACAACAAACTGGCTGTTGAGGTCACAGTTCCAGCTGGGAAGGATGTATTAACTGACCGGGTTAATTCTGGTGTTATTTGGGTTTCTTCTTACAGAATAAACTGCGCGTCGGTCCAGCTATTATTTTATTTATTTATTTTTTTCATTTGCAAATCGGATTCTTAGTAATTGACCTCGGAGGAAAAGCCGAAGAAAGGATCCGTTACGATTAGATTTGAATTCACTATCACATGACACAATAGATCGATCCAATAGGAAGTTAGCGGTATTGATACTTGATTAAACTTGAATTTCTCTTATAAGAAATTGATTCTTCTTGTCTCTTCTTTTATGATGAACTCTGGAATACCTTTATGATAACGAAGCTACTTAAATATACTGGTCCACTCTTTAAAAATAGGAACATTTTCAGGAAATCATTTTTAGAGATTAAAATTCCTTATAACTTCCTTAGGCTGCAACAATTGTCAGAATCGAAAAATAGTGATTTATTATCATTTTAGAAGTAAAGTATATGTTTATGATATAGACAGAGTGACATATCGATCCATGAGTTTTATAAGAAAACATTTTTTAGCTTGAGTTACAAAAACTTTTTTAATATATTTTATTGTTACAGGTTATTTATATATACAAAATATTTAAGTAAATGCTCTGTTTATAATAAACAGTTTTAACAATATTTAATGGCCTGAACATCCGAGATTTCTCATAAAAATATGCGTCCCCTGACAGAAATCGATCATGTATCTACACAGAACTGTCATATAGACTGACATGCTATACCTGTTTAACTACGAAGGGGCGTCTGGTTAGCAAAGTTAATTTTACTGATTTTGAACTACAAACTTTCATGATTTCCCTCGAACGTCCATATCTACTCGGAGCGTCTCTTATTATATACAAATGAAGTCACACACCACGAAATGGATTAAGTCCAACAATTATTTAAAAGTATTTTATTGTTATACGTTATTTATATAGACAAACTATTTATGTAAATGCTCTGTTTATAATAGGCAGTATTAACAATATTTACTGGCCTGAACCTCCGAGAAATCTCATTGACAGGAATCCAACCTGTACCCTAAACAGGACTATCACATACCTGACGTGATATATCAAGTTTAACTACGAAGGAGCGTCTTCACATTATACCATTTTAGCTATGAATAGCATGCTTTTAAATAGCGAACAAACAGTTATATTCACTTTTAAGTAAAGAATAAAAATTACCATAAATTAGTAAAATTATTTATCCGTTTATCATCTGGCATTCCGCTCTCACCCTTACACAGTAGAAACTTTTAAATGTAGCCGTCTCTTCTACTCCAGTAGCTTCATACCTCACACCTCTCGCCTGTGGAACACCCTTCCCAATTATTGTTTCCCTGAGAGCTATAATCTCCAACTATTCAAATGTAATGTCAATTGACATCTCCAGTTACCTTGATCTATCCACTATCTCTCTCCTCATCCTTTCTTCTATCACTCCTATCTGCTCTCACTCCTAATCTTTTGCAACCCCCTGCATCCTAGTGGCTTCACGCCTTGCTCGGGGCGTAATGCTTAAAAAAAAATGTGTTTGCAGAAAAATATGTACAAAAGCAAGAAAAATGTTCTTAAAAAGTTAAAAGAATCTTTAAAAATTCAGGAAATCTAAAAAATATGCTGTAACAATGACGTTCGCACAATTTCAAAATATAATTTTGTAAATAACGACGAAGGGAATTTTTTTTTAATCATTTCACCCCAAGCAAGGCAATATTACCCCTAAGACTAAAGGGGTTACTGACTGTTAGAAACTATGAGGGAAAAAGAGAATTAAGGAGAGAGAACAATAAAAGAACAAGAATTAAGAAGTGAGAAGATAACGACTAACATTGTATTTAAATCTTTGAAGATCAAAGTTGACTGAAGCCATATGCGAGATGTCCAAAAGATACTGTTAGCTCAGAACTTACAGTTGCATTTAGCTATTTCAACTGTAAATTGATGAGACTTTGCCATTCTAGTACTGCGCATAAATTCATAAAATTCAACTACCATAAACGAAAGTTCATTAAAAGAATTACTATGAAAATATTTATAGAAAAGTCACAGGGAAACTACGTTAGGGTGAGGGTTAAGTGACTGCAGTTGAGATACTAGGTCTAGACCAATAACATTGCAGTTTCCTATTTGGATTTTATCAAGAATTTCTAGATATATATCACGAGCACCGGGCCACATCTGGTAGCAATATTCAAAACAAGGTCGAAGGTCCTCTATCGTACCTAGACTTATATATATATATATATATATATATATATATATATATATATATATATATATATATATATATGTACGATTGATTCTGATAAGAACAGGACACAGGTAATCAGCTTTCCTAGCAACAGACCAGTGAAGACCCATAATTCTGTAAACTTCAGGGGTTATTTTGACACTGTATTTTATTATATACCGGACCACATTCGAAAACGATGACAAATCCATATTTTTTTTTCGATTCTTATAAGTATCGTGGCCTAAATATGTTCTACACCTTTGTGCAAATTCATTGAAACACCCGCGTTAGTTTCTTTTCGTTAAACATATGGTCAGGTTTAGACCCACTGGAATGACAGGGTGTAATCGATTTCTATTTTTCTCTCAGATTAGATCATTTGCATTGGTGTGCTTTAATATGAAACTATTTTCGGAGAGTATGATGAAATTTGTTTGGGTTTGAAAAACATTGCATCATCCATTATTGAGTCAGATTTTTCGCACACCAGTACACTATTGTTTCGACTGTCAATTAGTTATCCTACTGCCATTGTCTGCGAATGACTTTACTCTAAGGAAACGTACGAAAATTGTAACGCTGCACGAACACACTGACAAGCCTTACTAGTGAGCAAATCAAAGTACTATCGGCCGGGAAACTCTCCTGATTTAAATGTAATCCAGAATTTGTGGTCAATCTGCAAGTAACGACTTCGTGGAATGGACATATGAAGTACTAACGTGTTCACTGGGCCATGTTTCATTGGAAAAATACAATAAAAGGAAACTAACGGAATTATTCGTTTTGTTTCAATTAATTTGTACGAGAGTTTTAAATAATGCTAACCCACAACATATATTCCCTTAAAAGGTTTCCTTTTTTTTTTAGCAGATCCGTTCATTTGAGCAGTTTAAGGATTGCATACCTTTGATTTCTGTAACGGTGTTTCTCGGTTTTGAAAATGTCTATGAAGGCTGAAGAATATAGGGACCAAACATGTTGCAATAAGAGCAATGAAAGAATGAAGATAATTTTCACCTCAAGCAAGGAATTAAAGCCACTAAGACACAAGAGGTTACTAAGTGCAAAAGAAAAAAAGCAGACACATTATTAAAGAGCGAGAACAATATAATATTAATCAAGAAGACAGCAGATAACGATTGACATTGCATTTAAATTTTTAAAGATCAATTTTCGCTAGAAAGGAAAAAGATTGAAGAGTCCCATATGTTAGAAGTGCGAGAAATGAAACTGGTAGCATAGAACTTATGGTTACATTGAACCAAGTCAGCTGTAAATTGATGACACCTTTTAGCTCATCTGGTATAGCGGTTTAATTCATAAAGTCTAGGTGCCATAACAAAGAGCGATATTTATTCTGCTATGTGCAGAAATGTGGCACAAGGCCAAAATGAGGAATGGGAGACAAAGACGATCTTCTTCTGTCTCAACGTTAAACTTAACTGGCTACAAACACTAACCCATACATACAACAATATTTTTAAACGAAAACAACGCATTCTTAATTACTTTTCTTAGTACATCCGCCAAAATACCTCATTGTCTCCATCAAAGTCCTAACTAGTCCCCATATCTACAATTCATTGTCTGCGGGGAGGGGGAATAAAACAACAAATTTAAAATCTAACCCCACTGTATTATTTACAAAAAAAAAAAAAAAAAAAAAACACTTTACAAGAAATTAAATAAAATAATGCTAGTAATAAAAACACCACAATCCCTAAATGCGGTTAGAAACCTCAATGAACTGAACGAAATCAATGTGAGACTTTAATAATATAAAAAAAATCATTAATTCCAAGCACTCACTCAAACACACAATCATTCAGACACAACAACAAATACAAAAATCACATCCAAAACAAAAGGCGCCCCACATCCACCTAATGAGGGAGGGGATGGGGGATTTAACCAATGAAAAATGGGGATAAAAATAAAAGGCGCCAATAACAAAGAGCGATATTTATTTGTAAATATTTACAAAATATGGCACAAGGCCAAAACGGGGAATAGGAAAAATGACGGTTTTCATCTGTCTTAACATTAAACTTAGCTAGCCATAAACACTGACCCAAACATACAGCGATATATTTAAACCAAAACAACGCATTCTTACTTAACTTTCTTACGACATACGCCATAATACTTCAATGCTTCTATAAAAGTCTTAATTAGTCCGCATATGTATAATTCATTGTTTGTGGCGTAGACGAATAAAACAGCAAATTTGAAAATCTAACTCAATGAATATTTACAAAAAAAGTACAAAACTATTTACAAGAAACTAAACAAAATAATGTTCGTAATAAAAC